AAAAAAAAAAAAAAAAAAAAAAAGAGAGCGAGCAAAGCAGCCAGGCACAGTGGCTCATGCCTATAATTCCAGCACTTTGGGAGGCTGAGGCAAAGGATTGCCTGAGCCCATGGGTTTGAGATCAGCCTGGGCAATGTGGCGAGACCTCATCTCTACAATAAATCAAAAAATTAGCCAGGCGCAGTGGTGCGTGCCTGTAGTTCCAGCTACTTGGAAGGCTAGGAGGAGGAATCGCCAGAACCCAACGGGTTGAGGCTGCAATGGCCGTGAGCATGCAGCCTGGGTAACAGTGAGACTCCAACTCCCCCCCTCCCAAAAAAAAGCAAGAAACAAGAAAAAAAAGTGAGCAAATTCCATGAAACCGGAGAACTGGGGAGGCCGAGTTGGTATGAGGGCCATGGGGGCTTCGTCAAGGGGAAGACACCCCCAGGAGTCCACACGTGCAACGTACACACAGGTCTGCCCCCTCCCCCTGCCCTGGCACCTTTGGGTGGCCTCTCACGGCGCAGTTGAGTGCGGCGGCGTACCCAGCCACAACCACACGGTCCATTAGAGGCGTCAGGAACTTGGGGGCCATCCGGAAGTCATGTTCCTTGTACTCAGGTGACTTGAAGGTGATTCCTGGAGAGAGGAGACGCACCTGTGAGGTGGACTGATCTAGACTGTCCCTGACCCCAGCCGGGGTCAAACCAACCCTGACCCACTCTCCCCGGTGGCCGGGTGCCCTCAGCTTTGAGTCTGGGGGGGGGGTCGGAAGAGTCCAGGATAGCCCCCGGCAGAAAAGGATAGGTCCTGAGGAGGGGATGGCGGTACCTGTCTTGAGGATGTGGGCGGTGTTCTTGGAGACACCAGGTGTGTCACTGAGCCCACAGATGTTCTCAGAGAAGACACGGAAATAGTATTCATTGCCCACAATGAGTTCAGACACGGTACAGGAAGTGGGCCGATTGTGCTCATAGACATTGAACCACTCCTAGTGTGGGGACAAGGAAGGATGAGGTGGTGTGGGGATACAGGGGAGCACACAAAAGTGGACACAGATGGTGTCAAAGTACACCAGTCATAGCAGCACCGTCCGCAACCAACAGGTGGTAACCAGCCAGTGTCCATCAACCGATGAATGGGTTACCCCAAGGAGCTGACCTAGACAGTGGAATATGACTCAGCCATGAAAAGGAATGAGCGGCCGAGCATACTGGCTCACAACTGCAATCTCAGTATTTAGGAGGCCAAGGCAGGAGGATCACTTGAGGCCAGGAGTTTGAGACCAGCCTGGACAACATAGCAAGACTCTTTCCTACAAAAAATACAAAAATCAGTCAGGCATGGTGGCGCACACTTGGAGTCACAGTCACTCCAGAGGCTGAGGTGGAGGATGGCTTGAGCCCAGGAGCTCAAGGCTACAGTGAGCTATGATCACCCCACTGCACTCAGCTTGGACAACAGAGAGAGACTCTGTCTCCAAAATTAAAATTTACAATAAGGAATGAGCATTTGGCATAAAGGCTCACACCTGTCATTCCAGCACTTTGGAAGGCAGAGGTGAGAGGAATGCCTGAGCCCACGAGTTTGAGACCAGCCTGGACAACTTGGCAAGACCTCGTCTCTACAATAAATCAAAAAATTAGCCGGGTGTGATGGCGTGCGTCTGTAGCTCCAGCTACTCAGGAGACTGAGGAGGAAGGGTCACTTGAGTCCGGGAGGTGGGGGCTGCGGTGGCCGTGATTGTGCCACTGCACTCCAGCCTGGGCGGCAGAGTGAGACCCCGACTCTCAATAAATAAATAAATAACACAGGCTGCAACATGGATGACGCCTGAACACGTGGCACGTGACGGTGAGTAAAAGAAGCCAGACACAAAAGTCACATCCCGTGTGAGTCCATCTCTATGAAACATCCAGAATAAGTGGATCCACAGAGGAAGGAAGCAGATTGTGGTGGCCGGGGACGGGGCTGGGGGAGACCAGGGATGACCACCCAGGGGCACGGGGTTTCCTTTTGGGGGGCGGCATGTCTTGAGCTTGACCGAGATGGTGGTTCTAAAGGCTGGGAGGGGTTCACGCTACTGTGGCTAGTGGCTAATTTTGTCATGGAACGTTCATCTCAGTGAACAGAGAAATGTTAAACCCATCACGCCCCAAGCGTCAACCACACGTTCCCTCCCTGCCCGGCCCGTCTCCCAGTCTCTGGGCCTCGGTCTCCCCAGCTGCCAGGTGGGAACACCCACGCCCACGCGGACGACCCCGCGGCACTGCCCGCCGCCCCCCGGGCCCTCCATGGCTCACCATAGTCTTCTTGTCGGCTTTCTGGACGAAATACCCTGTGACCTCGCTGTTGCCGTCATCCCGGGGCGGCTGCCACTCCACCAGCGCATTGGTGCCCCACACCTCCTTCACCCTCACGTTCATGGGCGGCCCTGCCTTTTCTGGAAGCCAGAGGGGTCAGGGGCCACCGGGGTCCCAGAGGCCCAGCTCTCGCCCCTCCCCCCCCACACTCACCCCGCTCCTCCCCATCTGTCTCTTGGGCCGTGGGCCCTGCTCATTTCCTCACCCTTTTGCC